ACAAGAAAGACCTGAAAATACAAGTCCAGACTGTTCAGTTTTACACATTCCTAAGAAAACGTACAGTTATGTAGACAATGACAGGATTCCTATTAGCTCTACTCATGCAGATTAAAGATATAGCTTACTAAGTATCTACTCACTATCTATTAACATCTAAATTTAAATTTACTGCATTTATTGGTTTATAGCATCTGATTAATACAAAGCCTCAGAGTAATACAAATCACCTCAAATTCTGGAATTATCTTCAGTTAGGGATTAACAGCTATGTAAAAGCATTTAAAAATAATCTGATTTATATTATATATTTTCCATCAAACTCAAGAAAAAATGTAGACTACAGTAAGAAAGGCAGAAGTATTTCTCAGTATGACATTATATGACCATAAATTGAAAGTAAGGTCTGTATGTCATCAGTTCTCTCTACTCTTCTAAATAATTACAGCTTAGACCTGCCTTTCACCCGTTGTGTTAGTCTTGTAATAGACCGATCCACAACCATTCAAACAAACTCTTATAAAGGTAAAAAAAAGTACAGCAAACAATGCTAGCATCTATACCTGACCTTGCTGTTTTTCTGTCATTCTAAATCTGTTCATAGGCTTTAATTAACTGATTTCAGTCTTGTTTCATCTCCTGTCCACTGCTTACCACCTTCAAACAGGACTCATAGTGACATCTACTGGGTTAAATTCAGACTGGTAATTGCCAGGGCTCCTCAGAAATGAGAAAAAAAAAATCTGTGGGCGTTTGACTTTCACTCCTAAAAGCATGAGAAGTAATGAAGTAAATCAAACCAAAAGAACAGCAGCCACTGCTTAAGCAGATTATTTACACCAAAACCTTCCTAAGTGACCTGTATATTGTAAATCAAGCCTAGCACGAGGTAGTCTATTGTCAGGCTGTAGGTGTAGGGGTTCAGCACACCTAACACATCTAGTTGAAGGCTAGACACTGATATTAACAACAAAAAAATAATTTTATTGTAATCTATACAGAACCGGCCTTCCATTCTCTTTGTAAAAGGAGGATATTATTGCAAGGATTTTCATTTATTTTCACTCCTTAAATGTAGGTGCAGTGAAAACACAGTCATGATTAAGCTAATGAAGAGCCATTGAAACTTACTTAATATCTACTGTAAGTAACACATAGCTAATTAACTTAGAACTATTGTATCTTCAGAAGAGCCTTTTTAATACTGCAGAAAATGAAAATATTTTTTTAATGTGTGCATATATATACACACATATATAAAAATACGTATCTGAAACTTACCATTAGGTCTTTTTACTGGTAAAATAGTAGACATTTTGGTATAAAATTTCTGCACAGAGACCACTTTAATAAGTTCTGCCCATCTACTGATTTCATTATTAAATAACTATCTTGTGCAAGTTTACTCAGGCATACCATATACTCATATTTTAGCCTACATATGAAATATTACAAGTTTAAAGTTTGTAAGTATTTTAATTTGAACACAAATTATTGCTGTTTTTAAGACTGCATGGCAAAATGAGGGGTAAGCACAGCCAAAGAGGACATCCCCAGTTGTGGTCTGTCACACTAAACAGTTCACCTCCTCTGACAGTTTAATTCAGATATTAACATTCCTCACATTGTAACCCTGTATTTTGGTGACAAGAACATTCCACAGAGCAGAAGATGAAAGATAAATGGATGAGGGAATGGTTTTGCATACAAAAACCCAGGCCAGAAAGTATTTACTAATATCCAAATGATGACAAGTCCAAATACAAAGAATGCTATGTTAAAAGCTCTGATCATACACAGTCTCAGACAGCCAGAGAGCATTTTTCTTTTTTTCCTAAACTCTACAGCACAACAAAATTTCAGCTTCTCAGATTACTGAAAAAACCAGGCTCTCTGTGTGTGTATGTGTGTGCATGTGTTCAGAATCGTGCACAATTTTGCACTGCTTCTTCAATCTGCGCGCACTTCATCTCTACTGTTGTTGGTCAAAGCTGGCTTCCCCTATGAATCTAAAGAATTATGTATTCAAATAATTGTGATTGCCTACCCTTTAAAAAAGACTACATAAAAATAGAATCAGCAAATTCCTTCACAAAAAAATTTGGTGTTTTTGTTAAATTTCTGTGTAAATTCTCTAACTCAAAGTCAAAAACATACAGCTTAGTTATTTTAAGCAAAGGTGCTTAAATAATCAGTATTCCAAATGTTAGGATAATGAATTAGGTGGAGACAGACAGACAGACATTCTACAGGTCAGGAAACAAGCCAATCTCACACAGTTTACAGGAAAAAATTTTTTTTCTGAGGTCATAATTATTTCTTATCAGATTTTCTGCACCTTACTCTACTGCATCTCACATTGCCTTCCACATCTCACATTGCCTTCCAAGTGAGGAAAGGGATGGGATTAAGCAGAACACTTTGTAAGAGACAGAACTTCTTTATCAACCACACAACAAAAATGTATGCTTTTAAAGAGGTTTTTTAAAACACTGAAGGATATATGGCCCAAACCTGCCAGCAATGCACGTCAGAGGGAGAGGGTGAAAGGGCCAAAGAGATAACACCACAAGTGCAGCTCAATACCCATGGCCCATCATGTTTTCCTTTGTGGGTTACATGCTCTTGCACTGGTGTGGGAAAAGGGCAGCCAAAGAGCTGTTAACTGCGATGGCCTAGGCACTTCAAAAAAATATTCAATCACATTTGAATATAGCCCGAATTAGCCCAAATGAGCACATAAAGGATTTCAGATAGGGCAACAGAACCACTTACACTTAAAAAAGTATGTATGCAAATATATCACACTTTATTTCCCTCCTGATTCTGCCTTAAAAATAGGCTGACAACCAAGATTCTGAATTATCGTGAAAAATACCTTCATGGGTGGCTAGGTGAGCTGACAGATTAAATAACATTTTTGAAGTGTACAGTTACTCACGGAATTTACATGGATAATTGTAAATGCCCTGTGCATTGCAGCAACTGGAGAGGCTGGACTGGTTTGGCTGCAGCAAATGAATGTTTATCATAGGTTTAATTACCCTGCCTCTTGGATAGGGCTCTACTGCTGAGCTTTGTGCTGCACAGCTGGTTTTACTATGGGTACTTGAGCCAGATTCTTTGGAGAAGGTAGGGATTTTATCACCAAGTTGTTTTTTGTTTGGGGTTCCAGTTAAAGAAAGGTTACCTTCTCTACTCTAGGGGGGGAAAAAAAAAGGCATTGCAGTCATAAAATTAAATTCCATGAATAATTTCAAGGATTATGAAGCAAATTCTGTTGAACGTCTGGCTTTTTTTTTTTCCAAGTTGGAATATTTAATTTATTAAGTAATTACTGTGCTGAAGCAAAGAACATATTTCAGGAAATGTATAATATATTTATACTATGGTTAAACATGCCTGTACATGTTATGTAAAAAGAGAGAGCCTCTCTCTTTCTCAATTAAATAGTCATGAAGTCAAAGGAAAACATTCTTTCAACAAATGCTTGAAATGGCTTCCTTCTACCCAGAGTTACTGAAAATTCAGTCAAGATTTGAAACATTTCCCGTTACATTATAAAGACAAATGCAATTTTTAATGTATGCAATTGCGAATATCAATTTATCAATCAATGAAATGTTTTTAGTTCCTAGTAAACGAAAATATCTGTTCAGCTGTAGTTTCTAAAACTAACAAAAATGTCAAAAGCTACAAGAACATCACTTAAAAAAGTGACGCATTTTCTGTCATTCGAAGGCTGAAAATGTTAATAAAACCTTCCTCTGTAAGAAAAGGACAGTAATTCGTCCTGACACTTATCTTTCGTGTTATTTATTTGGTACCTCAAATTGCGAAGGGAGACGTTTTTTGCTTACGAAAAAGGAGTGTATCAAAGAATGCCAAAAAAGGGAAAATGCAGGTTTCTCTCTACCTAGCACACTACTGAATCATACCAGCTGAGTCATATTGCCATCATTTTTCAGAATTAGATTCAAGCTGATTCGCTTATTCTGCTAGTAGTTGTCATACGGGAGTAAGTGCATTCATCTTTCTTTCCCTTTACTATTTAAATAAAGACCCCCACTGCTTTCGTTTCTCAAAACCTCATCCGCAATCTAATAAACTATTCCACTGGAGGAAGAAAAATACACCAAGGCAAGGCAATACAACTCATCTCGCCACCGAGAAATGTGAGGAAGGAAAAAATGCCACCACTGCACTGAGACATGCCGAGATCCAAAACAGTCCTAATGCACAATCCTGTTTTAGGTCTCACTGCGTCTGGTGCAGGCACACCTTTCTTATCACTCTGAGCAAATCTCTCATGAACCTGGTTTGGCTCTCTTTGATCTCATCTCCTCTCCAGTGGAAATCTCTTCGGATGCAGGAAGTCCAGAATTCCAATTATTAGCAAATGCATTCATTCTGATAACATTCTCATCAGCAATGAAGAAGTAGAACAGGTCAAGATGAATAATGTTTTTTAATTTCTAAGTGATCTCTATCTGCGGATTTATCCCTATTATTTGTGAAGGAGGACAGAACATTACATTGGAAGATGACTAGTCTTCTTGCAAAGCACTCAGCAACATAGTTGTGATTTGTGTTGCATGTTAGTGATATCATTTTAATGAAATATGCATCTCAAAACTTGGACCATTTCATGCACAATTATTTTCAAAGAAGCACTGCATTTGACTACATTTTTTTCTAGGCAAACAGCTGTTTTTCTGGTATTTTCAGTCTTGTCAAATTTATCTGTGAAAGTGATAAAGTTAAACTGCATAACACTTTGTGAAAAATTCAGCAGCAATTTATCCTTAGCATATGCTTGTCATTTCTTTTGCTGAAAGTTCTTCCAGTGTTTCTTGCTCCCTTGGACTAGCTCTTAAAATTTTTATCTCTGTATCTTTTCCCTGTACAAGAATTGAAAAGCTTTGGAAAAGAAAGGGTAAGAAACTGGGATGACAAAATAACCACAATAATTCAGTAAAGAAAGAAGACTTATTTCTTACCAAATTCTTCTTCCCCATCCTGGTCATCTATTAAGCCTACTGAGACTCCCAAATCCATGCATTTCTTGCTATGTGCCTTTGACTTCATATGTTTTGTTAAATTTCCTTAAGAAAAAAAAATAAAACAGTAACTACTCTGTTACTATAAATGTCTACAAATATAAACTCAGTGTGTTTATCTCTTCTTCAGGTACATTTATAACAACCTGTATGATTTGATTTCACAATTGCTAGAACCTTGTCCCTCAGTGCAAGCTGTCAAGGGCTGAGGTAGATTCACCATCCTGAATGCTACTAGCTCTCTGGCTACGTTTCCAGAAGTTTTTTATTGAGATACAACAGAATAGGATGGAAATCCTAGATGATGATGTATTTTGCACTGTGTAAGACATCCTTCCTTTGTTTATGGCAAAGTATAAAAAGGCTGATTCAGTCTTCAAAGTCATGTTGACAAAACTGTTACACGAAACTAAAGTTCATATCTTGCCGTTCTTTTAGTATTTGATGAATCCTATTTTTAGTGTAAACATTTTTACTGCCGACTTAAGCAAACACATCAGTTTTATTCAAAATCAGAACACGAACATATTTGATCTCAATCTCAAAAATGAATGTGTTGCTGAGAGGCCCAACAGGCTGCTCCCCCTTGTCCTTTGAAAAGAAAATATGGCAAATACCATCAAGAAAAAGTTAAGAGTGGCTCAGATCTGTAAATGACAAGATTTATAAAATGCATGTTACTAGAAGTAACTGCTTACTTTATACTGAAACTTCCTATTGTCTCTCAAAAAAGTTTCTTTGAGGTGTTTAAATGGGAGAAAGTACAGTGTAATGGTGACTTTTCTACGGTTATGGAGTACTTTATTTCTGCTTTGAAATGAAGGTAGTAACTCACCCCAAATGTTGAAATAATTGTTATGAACATATTGACTCACAAATAGCAAATTTTCCAGTTTTACATACTGCATGAAGTTGCTGACTACACTGTCTTGTTATGAAGGGTGGTTTACCAAATATCGAGCACCCAACTGTGTGAGTGACTCTGCCAGCAGTAATGGCAACAGCTGGGCATACCAGCTGCAGAAGAGGACATGAATACAAGTATCTGCTACAACTGAAACCAGGGAGAACTTCACATGGGCAGAACTTAACTACTTGAACTTGGCCAGCACCCCTACTCTGCAAAAACCATAATGAGAATTTATTGGGTTTGCACTCCAGCATTTCATCGTATTGGCAATATGATGACCCAGTCTGCCGGTTTGCAGTGATAAGTTTTGACACATCTAAAGCCTATTCATCCCACTTTGTGCAGCACCGGGTTATTTCTTGGAAGTTTTCCACCCAACCACTGAATAGCATTGAACCCACTAAAAATACAAATGTTTCTGAGGTTACAGCTGGGGGGATTATTGCTAAATTATGTTCAAGGCCAAGAAAAATTTTATGGCTTAGAATTCTTTTGCTGAAAGTATTTTGGCTGTAAATTTCTCTTGCCTGGATCTACCACTGTTTATTATACTGCCTGCTTAAACTAGGATGCAGTTAAGTCTCTATTGTAAACAGGCTTTAGAAAGTAGGGGTCCAACTCTGGGTCTTAAAAGGTCAAGTGGAAAGTGAATCTTGTTCTTCAAGGGTAAAAAAAATAATTTCAATATAGCAATTTAATAAAGGCTAATTTCTTTCCTAGAGCAATTTGTTGAGTGCCAATATGAGTACAATATATGTCCACCTCATACCTCCAAAAGATCAGTGCTTCAGACATAAAATTCTGTGTCCCATCCCTATCTAGGATGAGCAGCTAACCATCTCACTTGTCTTCACCTAATTTTCATCATACTCCCAGGATTTCCCTCTCCCACTCCAGTTTCTCACCCACTGTGGCATGCCACACAGTTAATTCATATGTAGATGTGATTATCTGAATAAACATACAGAAGATAAAGGAAAAGCAGGAAATTGGAAATTACAAATATTTTGAAGCATTAGACAATAAAACTCCACAGAGAGGTAACCTCTTTAGCTCATGAACAGCCAATTATGAAAAGAAAAGAATTCTACTTTAAAGCAGAAAATAAAAAGGGGAAAAATGTACACAGTAAAGTGCACTTGCCTTTAGTTTTGAAGGAAAAGTTGCAGTAATTGCAGTGGTAAGGACGGACATCTGTATGTGTGCGAATATGCTTCTTCAGCATGCTGGGCTTCTTGCAACGTATTCCACATTCTTCACAGATGTACTTCCCTCTCCCTCTTCCTCGAACATAAACATAGTCTTCATTTGACTTGTACCTAGTAACAGTACCATAAGAGTAAGGCAATCAGTTGTAATGGGAAAATGCTAGTTAAAAACACCAATCTACTAGAATTTCTAAAATAACACAGTAGATGAAAATGAATGACTGAGAAAACCAATCATGCTCTTTTTCTGCTCAGCTTCTGCATTTATCTGTTAAATTCATGTCAATATTTTTCTCTAGGTAATCAGATTTGTTTAGGAATAACAGCTTATCTTTTTTAATTAAGGTACCATTGATAGTTAGCATTTAAAGATTTCAAATTTCCTCTTTGCAACACAGGAACATACTTTTTAAAGGTGTCAGTTCTTGGAAGCAGGTTTGGGCACCATGCGAAAGCTTTAAAAGAGCATCTTTAAGGCTTTGCGTTGGATGCAGAAAAGGAACAACATTAGTTACGACAATGGGTAAGTCTTTAAAATTCCCTATCAATGTCTTCTGGACTCAGACTATGGGGACTGTCTCTAGATGAAAAAAAGTCATTCAGATTCAATTACACCCTTCATATTTCCACTCAAGGATACCAAAGGTTGCGCTTAGCTTTTGTGACCTGGTCCCTGCAACGTTTGGATCTGTGCAGAGACACAGCAATGCTGGTAATAGCTTAACTGCTTGCCCAGACTAGATTCCAACTGGGAACCAATAAATGGAAAGCCCTAGAGCGGACCACCAATTATGAGAACAATAAAATATGCACCACTTGTGCTCCAAAATTGTAGAGGTGTCACTGGCATTTTTCTGTTTAAAAAATCTGTTTTCTACCACGTTGTACATAGCGCAACACTGTGGCTAAAGTAACTGTTACTCGTATCAGGCAACAGATTTAAAGTATTATGGTGCAGGGACTAGGGCTCTCAGTAAATATTTCCATGGCACTTTTCAAATCAGGAGTTCTCCAGGCTATGTATGCCACAGCAAACTGCCAGACAGCCTATATCACAGGCTGCTGCTTAGCCCCTGGACTATATCCTCTCTAGTTACAGTTATACAGCCCTACTGCAGAATAGCTGTTATTTATCATGTAAGAGAAATACAGGAAAAGAATTTACATCTCTGGCTGTATTTAGCTGCCTTTACTGCTGATTAATGCTTGTTCCTTGGAAAAAAATTGAATTGCACTGCCTACTGTTCTTTATTTTATTACCCCTTCTCGTAACTCTCATGGCTCCATGATTCTGATGACTTTCCATTTTTCTTGGAAACATAACCAACATCCACAGACCACAATATGGGAACTGTTGCTTAAAATAAATCAATCAGGAAGCAATATCTCTGCAAAGTCTAGAATCAAGGAAAAATATCTTTCAGATGATACGTAGTATACAAAGTACAATACTTGCCCTCCATCAAATATTTTAACTCTTCTTGGTACAGTTTTGACAAAGGAGTTTTCTTTATCGTGCTCAGTGCTTGATTCAGAGTTTTCCTTATTGCTGAATTCAGTTGCAGTCAATTTTTTTCTATTTAATGCTCGCTGAAAGAAAATGAGATATGCTTATCATTAAAATTAGTGTCTTTCATACGCTATTCAAACATTCAAGTTATGATGAATAAAAGCATCATAAAAGCCACAATTCTAATAACTGGTTTTTGAAACTGTTAAGATACATGAAACAAAATACATCTTTTGCCAAACTTCTTCTCTAATATGCATTGTATATTTGTGGACAGCTAAATCTACATGGAGATTATGGCTCTGTAGGAAATCAGGGATGCTTTGAATCTGCAGTAGGAGATGCCTCTTTTTTCTTTTGGGAAAGTGAAGGTGATGCTTTTTAGCTACAGATAGCCTTCTACAGAGAAGGATGTGTACATTCAAATCCAAGTGCTTCCTAAACAGCTACAGCATTGCTCCCCTGCACTTGATGTGGCAGTGGGACCAACTTGCCTGCCAGTCAAGGAGCCGCCTTCCCATGGCAGAGCAAAGAGGAGAAGAGTGGGAAGGAGAGGTATACCAAGGGAAGATACTAATAGGTAACGTTTCTGAGTGCTAATATTTTCTAAAAAATATACCTGTTTTGGTGTCGAAAATGACTTCACAATTTGGTGAGGTTACCCTTCCAAAGCAAGGCTCCACAGTTCATTACTACTGACAGACCAAATTACAAGAAAAAGCATACCAGTTGCCTAGCAGAACAAAATTACATTTCTCCATTTTCCCAAATTACTAATAAAGGGAACTTTTTTTTTTTTTAAAGAAGGATGAGTTCCCCGAACATTTCCCAGTTGAAATCTACTCCTTCCAAGTCTAGGGTATTTATAAAATGGGCAACAATGAAGGAACGATCTAATTAGCCAGCAATTATTACTGTTATATTTATAAACTGTTCTACCCACGTAGCTGGCACATTTACCACATTTGCTCATATTGATAAGTGAATAAAATTATGAGAGGAAAAAAAAAAGTCTGGCCTTATGTTTTTCACTCATTATAAAATTTAATGCTGTAAGCTTGTGAATTCTTGGCAAGAGGAATGACTTCACTGGCTGACTTAAAATGACTGATCAATTATGCTGTTCATTACATATATTGAAAGATGACATCATTCTGGCACTCGGTCCTTGCCCATTGTCCTTCACACAGCCTCAGAGACTACCTTTACTTCTACTTTCCATCTGATAAGGAATTAACACAGATCACAGGAAAAGCATCTTCCTATTCAATTCAAAGTCCTAGAAATATGCACATACACAAGCACTGCTCCAATCCATATGCCTTCATACAGACCTCTGGATTGATTTGGGCTGCATTTTCAAATATCCGAGCAGTTCTACCAAAGCACACATGACAACTCTGCCTGTGTGTAGGAAGAAAGAAATTTCACCCTGCATGTTTTAACAGCACCCATACAAGGTGGATGAGAAATATCAGAAGTGAAGCTTATTCCTGGCAACTCAGCCATGCTGTAGTTCCTATACACTACCTGGTACATGAATTGCTTTTGTTTCCACTGCAAACAAAGAATGACAAGGTGACATTTGTGGTTAAACAGGAAAAGTCATGGAAAATACAGAATACACACAATAAACCCAATACCACATAAATATTCACAGCAGCTGGAATAATGCAATCTCTAAGTTCCTGATCATTCAATCCTAAATATTAAGTATTTTTTCCAGATTTACTTTTTAGGAATGAAAACACAAAGGAAAAAGAAAGATTCCAGCAGTATTTGGCCCATGTTGTTATCCAAACTATGATGAAACAGTGTTATAATAAATTGTATATTCACAAAAGCATCCGGAGTGCAAAAACTAACACAATATAGTATAGCCAAATACTTCTGATTCTCTCACCATCCCTTCTTTTTTTTAAACACATGTATTTATGTACAGGGATAAGATAGCCTAACACAGGTATTCAAATTACTATTTACCTCTGCTGATGTACTTTAGTTTACTGGTTATATGCTATTTTAGAAATTGCTTCAGTGTCTTAAACATGCAAAATGCTGCTATCAAAGATGCTCTAGCAGAAACACTGAGTTTGTGTCACAGAAATCTACAGAAATGCTCACTTACAATGAAAAAAACCAGTCTGTTTAGTTTTTTATGAAAAATTCCAACTGGATGATGACGACGATTTGGGCCCTCTGTACCTTTTAAAGAGCAGCCATCTCTAAGGAGCACAGGTTTCTTGTGTGGAAATCCTTTAACGTACCTCACCTAAAATCCACCAAACCCCCACACATACTGGTGGAAACGGCAGAAAAACAGCAGCACTGTAAAATATTCCTCTCTACCATTGCTTATGCTTTCCGTTTCTAACACAGTCTTGTCTCTCTTCTCCCATAGAGACAAGGACCATGATTCATTTCTACTTCACTCATTTTGCTCTGATTTAACTCCATTGTCCTCAATTACTGGTATGAAACTGAAAAAAAAATTGCTCTTAGGGCTGCCCAGAGACCAGAGTTCAATAGATACTTCTGGTACTTTACAACATCCTTTGGAAAAAAAACATGCTCACAGCCTGAATCATCAACATTATAAATTTCAGATTAGAATATTCATTAAACATTTTTCCCATTGGCACACAGCCACTTGGGGAAAATGTTTTTAATGTCTTTAAACTTTTATTAGTTTACACATAAAAATCTTCTGCATTTAACTACTTTCTAGTAGTGAGCTGGACTGTTGTGGCACATCATCCAAGAAAGGAAAGCTTTCCACAGTTAAGAGAAACTTTCCATTCTTCAGCCTATTCTTGCTCAAAAATCATCACCCTGGAATATTGCACACATTACTGATTCACTTCAGGAAGTGGAGCCAAGATCAATACGGGGGCTTGAAGAAGACCTGATACAACACCAATGACTTCAGGTGAGGAAAAATGGTGAAAAATAATAATAAATGGAACAACAAAATAAAAAGAGCAGGGAGATTATATAAGCCTCTGTGCAGGTGAAACCGCCTGTTACATTTTCACGTGCTGCACTCATTCCAGGACCTTCTTTTATAATAACATTTTGTGGTTTGTTTTCTGAATCACTGGAACGTGGCAACTTCACCTATTGCCTCTGAGCAGTGAACTGTGAAGAGCAAATAAAAGCCAGGGTTCTTTATTGTTTGCATTTTGTTCATGTGTATCTTCGTTTTCCATGGTACCTATTTTTGAAAGAACTGCTTTTTTTGTGACACTGATTAGTAGTGGTTATGCAGTAGCATGAAATCTCTGTAAACATGACTTAGTTCTGGGGGCAAACTCAGGAACAGTTCAGCAAGTCGCTTTATCTCGATGAGAAGATCAGCAGTTAAAGCCCTATGAGTAGAATATGCCAAATCAATCTGTGAGAGAGGAGGTGCTGCATTTTTATTATTTATAAATTGGATTATAGCAGCACTTAAAGCTCTCCATCAGGTCAGGGTTAAAATGTGCAAACCACTTGAAAAAACAAAACTCCCAGAGACCTGCAATCTAAACTGTGGTTCCTGAAGGAACTCAGAACCCCATCAACCTTTTAAGCAGAAAATCAATCATATTTTTTTTAGAATTACTTGATAATTTGTTTTTTGGCTTTGTGCTTCTTTTTTTAATGGAATGTTAATTTCCAAAAGGACCTTCAACATTTTCCATCCTTAGTCTCAAATAAAAAACCCAAAACAGTAGAGTTACTGGGCCTGAACTGAATGAGGAATTTCAGTTTCTGCTTTTTTCAAACATGGCTTCTGTGAGGAAGTTTCCGAGATGGCATGAGCTATTCCATTACCAGGTCTGACTGGAGACTGGTAACACAGAAGTATATTCTAGCAACAGCAGCAGCATCATTTTGGAAAGCAGCTGAAATCCTGCTGCCTGAGTCATTAGAAAGGAAAGCAGACAAGCTCTGGAGGTCAAAGCACCTATCAGGTCTTTGAAATTTTTAATTTCTGCCTTCCTATACCTCGCTCACACCATCTGAAGTGCCAATTAAACTTTTATTGGTGCTTTCTCACTGCACTTTCTTCCTTCACAATGGCTCTGAGCAAACCCTGTAAATCAGCCACAAGCAGAGCTTAAGAACTCTTCATTTTCACAATGCTCATGCGCTTCATTCAAAACGTCAGCAAGCAAGACTGAAGAAAGATTAGTAACTGTGGTTCTTTGTGGCAGAAGCACTGTAAATGTACCTGACAGCTGCCTATTACAGCATTTAAGCACTCCTGGAGCGTTTAAAAGGGTGCTGTCAAAATATTTTTTTTAAAAATTATTATCCATTATTTATAATCTAAACAGAGTTTGTTTGTAGACAAAATCTTTTCTTCAAGAGGCATGCTGCAGCTTTGCAATCAGTGAGTTTCTTCTGATAGACCGTTCTTTAAAAATAAAACAAACATGAGTCAATGACACAACTGATGTGAGACTTGCCTTAGAAGGACTTGTTCAACTAGTACAATGAAAAAGGCTAAAAGTTTGATTCCTTTTTTCCTTTTTCTTTTTTTTTTTTTTAAATTTGGCACTATTAAGTACAACACCTCATAAAATGTATGAAGAAGTAGACCTAAAAAAAAGGTAGTAAGAGTTTAAACCAAGGCAGCACACTAACATGGAACCAACAATTCAATTCAATTAAAGCACCACAACAAAGCTGGCAGCCTGTATGTATTTTCTGCATGAGACATTATGGATAAAGTTTTGAACTCCAATATAAATACTAGCAAAATCTCCCACTGATTTCAGAAAGGACCAGGTTTAACTCTACGGCTCTTCTGGCCTTAAGGGTTTCAGTGCATCTTCTTGACTCGCCCTGTAATTCTGAAACTATTTCTTCCTCTCATACAGTTGCTTCCTCTCATCCTATTGCTTTTTTCCCCACACTGACAATTCTGTATCTTAGCAAAACATTTAGCAAACACAGAAGCATTCCAGGGTGACCTCTGACAGCAAATCTCTGTCACTCAACACCCACAGAGATATGGGTCTTTTCCCGAGCCTGTGGCATGTCTCCTCTAGAGGGACCACTGGCAGTACGGACCCCGAGTCCCATCCCAACGACCAGGGATTTTGCTGACGGCAGCCTGCAGGAGTAGGACAAATTATAATTGCTTTTATGCCCCCACCAAAACACTTACATGCCCTGAAGGATTCTGGAGAAAGGGAGGTCTGTGACTGATGCTGCGTTTTTGCCAGCTCCAAAGAAGAGCTTGGCACCAAAGACACGGTATACACAGCAAAGAGGAAAGAAAAGTGTGAAATCAAGCACACTTCAGAAGGCTTTACGATTTCACTAGATGAGACAATAAAATATGGTACTGGGTCCATTAAAGAGACACAGACAGCTGCTGCCATACTATTGGGCAAGGAGCCACCTTTACCCATTCACAGAAGTGGTTCAATCACTACGAAACACCAAAACCAGTCCAAACCAGCACAGTTTTCGTCCTGTCTATAATAAAACTGTCCAGCAAGTAAAATCCTGATCACAACTGTGCAGCCCCGACACAGCTAAGGAAAAAAAAAGTGGGTACTTTGCTCTGACATTTCAGACTCTGGAATGATATAGTGTTTTATGTGGGTCACAACCTTTCCCTGGATTATATTCCTCAGCGCAAGATTTAACATCACCTTTTGAGTCATATTCATCCAAGGAGTTGTTGGTGGTTTTACGGCAGTGTAAATTTTGGTATAAACTTTGCTATTTCTGTCATTATTTCACACCACTGATTAACCTAGATGGGAGAAAGGGAAATGGTATACTCCTGCTCGCACAGTTAGATGATCAGCAATTGTGAAAACTGTTTTCACGATGTTTCCAGTGAAAACTGTTTTCACAGACATGTTCACGCTGAGCACTGTTTTGTAACAGAAAATACCAACTGACCTTTAAGGCAAAATATGCAATTATGATCTTAAATTAACCTGTTTTAAGTTAAAAGTGTTTAAAAATATTTCTATCAGAGTTATTTTTGTTCTACCTTTGCATGACAAAAAAATAGTCAAACATATTCCCGCCACAATAAACACTCCATATACGGATTTAAACCCAGGAACTAATTTCCATGAAAAGCGATAAATCCTTATGAACAGGTTTCTTAATCGAATTACTTAAGATCTTTTTAGCAGTTTGATCCAGCATAACTAAAATAAATAAGCACATATACTGTATGTGTCAGGCATATTACATTCTCTAAAATATGAGGAAGCACAATTTCCAAAGCAAATCCTCTGTAAATGATCAGTATACATCAAGCATTGTTTAAGTACCTTGGTTAAGCTGTTCTTCCACTTGCTTGAATAGACCAGTACATCAGATCTGGGATGAGTAGTTCTTGCTAGAGTGTACAGTGGTTTTTCAACTTTTTGTTTGGAATTGAGGAGGGAGAGAGCTACCTTTGTCGACAAACCAAGTGGATTGGGATTGTTAGGATTAATGGTCCATGTAGAATAGGCAGAGATTTTCTGATCGTTTTGCAGCAGATGCAACGGTTTTCTCTTCATGAGATAACACCAGGTAAAATTTGTTGTGGTCTTGAGGCTTGGAAATGACAACCTCTGCATTTCTCCTGCATTCATGGCAGCCAGTGTTGTTACAGACTTTGCTTGGCCAGGGCTGTTGTGCTTGCTCTCATTATTGTTACTTGGGGACCTTCTTTCTTGACTACTACTTACAGCCTTGAGAATAGAATTCTGGTTATTCACTGGAGACAATTCAGATGGTTTTCTAACTGCAAACACTGGCGATGTTGAAGACTTAAGGTCTTCAGGTTCTGGTGACTTCTTTAGGGTTTCTGAAACCCCAGTGTCAGATAAATGATGGTCAGGCAAAGGCAGGTCTGAAGTACTGGCCTTGCTGCTTTTTTCATCCTGTGTAACACTGTCAGGATCCAAGAGGTGATTTTCAAGAGGCTCCGTGGTGCAAACTTGTCTTACCAAAACTGGTTTCTTTTGCTTACTAGTAGGGTCATTAGATCTAACATTCACTGAATGCAATGGTCTAGCATCTGTCATACAAGCAGCTCCACTCTCATCTTTAACACGTTTCTGCTGCTTTTCCATGGCAATATCTAAACTGTTGGCTGGGGAAAGCATTCGTTTACTTGAAGCTGTAGCTTCTGGTTGAGGGAAGAGTCCACTAACTGGCACTTTCTGAATGATATTTGAAGAGCTTGACAAAGGTGAGTTTCTGGTTCCATTTTCTGGTTGTGAATTTTCAAATTCGAATGAATTTGGCAAAGTCCTCTGATAATCTTTGTGAGATTTTGGCAGCTGAGTTTTGCCTTCAAGCGTTGGCACTGTCACAACATTTGTATTGCAGATGGACTGATTTACCTGATCCTGGGTCACTAAAATGTGAGGAAGGGGTGTAACAGTTGCGAAGCCATAGGATGGCATACTGCTATGAATACGGACAGGAACCAGAAAAGGAGGAATCTGACTGCTGCAGTTATTAGGGACAATTTGCTTTAAAGGAGGCACAGAGTATGGATTAGACATGTCAGACAGTTTAGTCTGCATTTCAAAGGAGGATGAATTCTGATCCACCCCAACTTGACTTGGACCAGTCTGAGTTGATAAAGTACTTTTTAGCAATTTAGAAGAGCATGGCTGACCTATATGTAATGTTTTAACTTGAAGTTGATACTTTGGAGCAAAACAATCCTTTTTTTCATCAGGATGACAAGAAAGCGAGTCTGTGCTTGCTTGCTCCCCTTGGGCTGATGTTTTAGTAGATGGCTGAGAAGGCTGAGAAGGCTGATGAGTCAAGGATGGTTGTCCTTGATTATTCAACACATGATCTAGAGGCTGCTGAACTGAAGACAGGCTAACAGAATTACAACTTTGAATTGCTGAGTGAGGCCTGGAGTTAGTCTGTGAATACTGTGTACTTGAAGGAAAGTCCACTGAAGATTTGCCAGAGGTCTGCAGCTTGTGTAATGGCATTGTGGGCACATCTGTAGCATGAGCTGTCTGCAATGAAGAGGTTGATTTCACTTGAGGCTGTTGATTTTCTGGAGCAATATTTAAAGATATTTGTCTTACGAATGGCCCCCTCCTCCTTTCTAGAAGAGGCACGTGTCCAGCAGCTCCATTTGCAGATGAAACTTTCGGAGTGGCTATCTCCACAAGTGGGACAGGTTTTGATGGAGACATACTTCCACAGTCAAAAGACTTACTTCTGTAGTCCACAACCTCCATTGAGGGCTGTGTGCAGCTGATTTGCTCTGAGGCAGCACGTCTCATTTCCCGGTAATGAGGTCCAGGCACAGACAGTGCGTGTGAACCAGCAGGAATCATGAGGAATTCTGACGACTTACTAGCAGACTCTGCTTTGGAAGGGTTCTCAGCCTTCAAAGTTTCATCTTTATCAAGTGAAGTTGAGAAACTGGAGGCATGAGACAAGCTACTCTCCCGACTTAGGCTTCTAGAAAGTGTGGAGTCAACACTTGATTCAGCAGATGAATGCTCCATTTCAGCCAAGCGAATTCTTTTCTTCTTCGGTGGAAGCTTTTCTGTTGGTAATTTTGACAGTGTTTCGCTGCGCTGTGGCCAGTTAAACCTTTCTGTCTTTTCCTGGTCACTGCACTGGTTTTCTTGGTCTCTGTCTGGTTCTTCCGTGACCAGTATTTCAGGAACCTGGATGTTATGCTGTCGAACAAGTCTTGATGGCTGAAGTGGCGTGCTTCTCTCGTTAGAAACCAACTGGCTTCCCTGAACTTCCCCTCTAGGTGATTCTGACGACAAGGGTTGATGATGCTGGGGATTGTTCAGATAAGACTGTCTGTCTTCTTGGATTACAACGGTATTCAAAGAGCGATGCTTTGCAACCTTGTTGGGCTCTTGAGAAGAAACTGGTGATAGTCTTTCAAATGACTCTGATTTCTCAAATGAGCTATTTCTGCTCAGTGAATTGGTGTGCTGTATTACTGAAATGCCAGTCCCTTGTCTTTTCAACTCCATCTTTTCTTGCACAGCTGAACTTGCCTGCTTTTCAATGAGTGGAGCCACCTTTGGCTCAATAGTCTGATCTGTGCCTCGAGCCACAAGTTGAAGTTGGGAACTCTGAAGCAGAAGTTTGCTTGGTTGTTGTGATCCTACCACTGTTGTCGCATTGTATTTTGACAGACTGGAAGAATTTGCTGGCTTGCTTTGGCCTTCTGTGTTCTTCGATGGTATGCTCGTATCATTTTGCTGTGGGTCATCATCATCGCCAACACTTTTCATTTTCCTTCTTTTCCTTATCTGAGGTGTCTGCTCCCAGACGCCAGTTGAAGTAGTGACCCTGTAGTGTAGAATTTGAGGCTGTGTACTGTTTGTAACAGCTTTATGTTCAGGCTCCCGGATTGCTGCTTTAGTTTTAGGTCCATGCAACTCTGAACAATAAAATTTCTTGTGGTTTTCAAAATTTTCCAGTTTTCTATATCTGTTTCTGCAGGTTTCACATTCAAACATTGTTCCTCGCACCTGAGGGGACTTCTTTGTTTTTTCTAAATTTGATCCCTGTGCCAAGGATTTGCTCCTTTGTAATAAGGATTCACTTGATAAATTACACCCCAGATAACTTTCTTCTACAGATCGCACCAGTCCAAGACCTTGGCTTTCACCAGTGGAAGAATCTTCTATTGCTGCCTGTCTAACAAGGGTCCGAGGGTGTCCGCCTTGGTTCAGTGGAGTAGCAGGTCCTGATACAAAAACATCATCATATAAAGAGCCAATCTTATCATCAAATGACTGGCTTCCTCGAAGGGGATGAGAGGGAGGTATTACATTCGGAGGTACTGCTGAGTAACTGGTGGTAGGCATGGAATTACTTCGTGTTATAGGTAAACAGTCAAGGGATGGTACAGAAAGAAGAAAAACTTGCTTTGATTTCTCAGTGGGCGTAAAAGGAGACTTTGGTATATCAGAGCTTGAGCTAGTTCTTCTTCCCATGGGCTTTAAATCAAACTGGAAAGAATCTTTAAATATGTAGGATTTTGGTGAATCTATGCTTCCTCTTCTCGAAAGAGATGTTCTTCTTGGTTTCACGCTATCTAACTGTTTGTCATCTACAACAGCTTCATTATCAGAAATTAACTTTGAGATACGCTCCTCAAGAGTTTTTGTTGCCAAGGGAGGTCGCATTTGGCCAGAGAGAATTAGATTTTTTTCGGCACAAACAGTTTGTACCACTGATGCCACCACACCACTTGTTCGTGGTACACAGGGCAGGTTTTTATTTGGATCTTTCTCAGAGGTCAACAATCCCCTTACAAAAGGAGCTGGAGGGCTCATTGTTTGATCGGCACTTTCAGAACGAGAGAAATAACCAGAATCAGTACTACCTAAACTTCTGGGGCTCAAAAGACATTTTCCTTGCTGATCTTGAGAACCATCAGTTGCCTGTTGTCTCTGGAGCTGGGCATGCACTGATCCTACTGCAGATCCCAGCTGTTCCTCTAATAGGCCCACTTCTACTTTCTGATGCTGCTTTATGTCATTCTCCTTGAATGAGGCTGTATGTGTTACATTTGACTGAAGAGTTGTCACTTTAGAATCTCCTTTTCTCTGTGCTGCAGCAAGCTCGGGTGCGGGTTCTGTTACTTTTGGGCTATCAGCCCTTAATGGAGAAACATTTACAGGATGAACTACTACTTTAGGTAAAGCTGCCCTTACTTGAGGTTCTGCGTCATGCAATGAAGAGTCACCTGGTATACAATCTGGGTTGCTTACTGGAATAGGACTTCCTTTCTGCAATGTTTCTGCACTTGAGATGACTTTCATTAATTGTGCAGGTTCCAGTTCTTGATCATCTTGTCTTTCATCAGCAGTGCCTTCATCTTCACTTTCACCGCTTTCTTCCACATCTGAATGAATGCTAAGTGCTTTGTCCGAGTCATGCGATAAGAAGAGGCCACCTGAATCTGGTTGTAGAACAAGTCCAAGTTTGATAGCGTGTGCATGAGATTTTTTGTGCTTGTACAGATTGCTTTTGGTTTTAAATGAAAACCCACATGTCACACAAGGATATGGTCGCTCTCCAGTATGGGATCGGATGTGCTTTTGGAGAACACTGGGCTTGGCACAGGCCCGATTGCAATACTCACAGACGTATTTCCCTAGCTTTTTAGGCTTCTGGTCTTTTAAGAGGTTACATATTTGTTCTACACCATGGTTTACAACTGATGTTATCTGGGCTGAATTATACACCGGACCTATAGGCAAGTGTGTTGAACTCGATGTGCTAATTGACAAAGGTGAAGACGAACTTGCTACTAACTGGTTTTGAGAAAAAACCTGAGTTACAGTGGAAGATGAGGTGTGAACGACAGAAGTTGTTACTGCTATGCTGTATATCTGCTGGAGCTTGGGGTTTTCTTGACTCTGCTGTTGCACCAGTGACCTAGTTAAACTTGGACACATAACAACCTGGTGATTTTGTTGACTGGTCTTAGTAATAAGGTCTTGTGAATGAGAAACTGATTGGCCTTGTGCTTGTCCAGTCTTGGCTGTTGTTGCTACATGCACATTGTTCAACGTACACGGGTAATAGTGAGGTCCAGCTGCAAACTCATGCTGTGACAAAGCAGACTGATTTTGGACGCTTATTGTATTGGACGTGAGACTAGAAGAGGTGCTTACAGTTTTATTTGGTCTCAGTTTCTCTATTTGCATCCCATAAGGGGGGCACTCTTGTGCTAAGGTGTTCAGTTCAGGCTCCATAGCTTTTAATAAGACATCGAATGCAGTTCGCGTACACGGGGATGACGTACTGCAATCAACAAAATTAATACATTCATTACTGTCAGTCTTTGTTTTACTTGATGAGGAGTTTGAGGGAGGCTTCCTCTCTGCTGAGTTCAGTTGGTTTGCATCAGTATCCCCCGCTGCCTGCTTACACAAATCTAAGGACGGATGCGTCAGCGAAAGCTTTGTCTGCATTGATGCCTCAGATTTGGTTGTTTCAACACTTATCTCACTACTAAGTGCTCCCCCATTTTGTTTGGTACATTGATTTCCATTTTGCACAGGCAGGTGATCCTGTGCCATGGCGTGTTCAGAGGCATCTGGAAGAGCTTTTAGTGGTGAAGGCTCTATATTTTGTTTAATCTTGGCTTCAGTGGGGCTTCTCAAAGGCGATTTTGGTATTTTTTTAAGATGGTTTTCAGACACAATCTTTTTTCTTTTCACACCCTTAATTGTATCTTGGGTTCCTCTAGTACCAGCATCGGTGATTTCTGTTAAAACACAAAGAGAATAAAAAAGAATATTCAAACTGGATAATGCAGTATTTTTTTTTATTTATACCACTTTAGCATCTCTAAGTTTCAACAGTAAGCCCTGGGGCAACAGGACTGACGTCCGTCTCTCCAGCCTCCAATACTTTCTTTTAACAGTAAATGTATCTTAGTGAAGATCTATTTTGTTTTCATCAAAAATGAGCAATGCTTTCTAACTGATGCTCAAAGACATTACAAAAGTAATTCACTACAGGAAAGGCTTCAAAGAAAACATAAGAAAAGAAAGGCTACCGAAGGAATATTTTAGCAACTCCTTTTCAGATAAGTAAAAGAAGCCTCTCTCTTGCACTAGTTTAAAAATCCAAATTGTTATAGGAGGAAAATGAAGAACCAAGACACATATGTCATGTTTGTCACTTTTTCCATCTGTATGTCCCCGTAGTCAAGGAATGAACACAACTTCCTCACGGTTATATTTGTAAGTAGATTTATCATGGAAATGGCACAACCACCCACACCATCTGTCAAATACTGTATTTCAGAGCTCCAATTACTGAACTTCAATAGCATTTCAGATGAGCAACTATTGCGGATGAATAAAATCAGTCACACTTAAATGACTTTCTATTTGTGCATCATGAAACAAAATAAACTAAATTTGAATTATTTTAAAACTAGCTACACTTGTTGCTGATTTTAAGCAGATATGCACACAGAGTTTCAGGGGGGTAGTGAAGAGGAAACAAACTGGAGTATTATTCAGCAGAATAATTTTGCAGCAAGTACTTATATTTGTAGATAGTCCAATTTTCTCTATAATAAAAATACCTATAGACTGAATTTGAGTGTTGATACTTAGAAGCTTTTCTTTTTTATAGATACCTGAGTTACACACCTTTGTCTACCTCAAATGAGTGATATTTAATCTATCAGCTAATTCTTATTTTTGTTTCACTTCTTTCCTAACATACACGCAGTCATAGCCATTGCCTCAGCTAGCATCACTGGTAGTGCAGAAGAATATTAAATGGATGTAAATTCATTTTCTTAAGCTTTAACACACTCCTTCATCAGGCTGTTAGCCAAAACCCTATTCATCTGATTGCCAATATTAAAAGCAAAGAAAGAATCTGATGTGACTAGAGGGCTGATGGCTCTGAGAATGTTCAGCTGCACACACATTTTGGGAAGCAGCACTGAGTAACCCCATGCAGTATGTTTACCTGCACACTCGGTAACAGAGGTTTATGTGCACTTCTAGGTAAAGAACAGCCTTAAGACAACATATAAAGGACAAAATTCTCACAGTCAACTTCACAAGGAGGCACGTGGAGAAAGCTCTGACATACCAGTACCCACCAACCCTATGGTGCCCTTGGAGCGGCACAATTATCCCCTTGCAGAAACACCACCTGGCTTCCGTGCTGCAGTGGGAGGAAAGCCAAAGCATCGTGTGCATCTAACAAGAGATACTGCAGTCGATGAATCCAGGGTGGAATTCCTGCTCCACGGAGAGGAAATCCAGGCAATGCTTAAAGCTTGTCTAGCAGAACAGAATGCAAAGTGACCAGCAGGAGAAAAAAAGGCAAAAAGATGTTATGTTTTATCCATGCCAGAGCACAACCCAACTAGGATATGTGCTACTGCCAGACACTTGGAAATTCAAAATCCAATTTCCAACTCCATGCCAACTTAATTGTACGCATATATTCACTTAGGGTGAATGGATATTCAGGAGATTACCTTGCAAACTGAAAGATTAGAGACTACACATCACACAATGTGCTGGTTTTGGCTGGGGTACAGTTAACTATCTTCACAGTGGCTGGGAATTATGGAGTCTTTCTTGGCTGCGTGGTGCTTGGTTGCCAGCCGGGGTGAAACCGCAACACACATAATTTATAGCAAATGTGGAAGCTCTGCAGAACCCAATCTATTCCTCTCCCAGTCCTACTATGGAAAGCATAACTACGAAGAGTAAGAGCCTGTTTTGTCACATTCAGCAGTCCTATGCAAAAGATGCTTGAATCACTGGCTCCAAATCCTAGTTATGGGGACTGTGTGCTCCTCTTGTGAATCCAGAAAGAAGTTTCTGCAGTAATTCTTCACTTACATGAACTTTAGATTTATTGCTTTATCACCAAACCTATTCCTATTAGATTGGATTTAATATATTCAAAGCCAAGCAGTCTTCCATCACAGTGTTTTTTACTTTTCATTGCTTCACAATTAAACAGTGGCTTACAGTAATAAGTTATCACTGATATTATTAATGGTGAATTCCTTAAAATTCATAGTCTGCTGCAACAGTTTTTTCTTCAATAACAATAAAAAACAGTTTTACGCGAATCAAAGAGAAAATAACAAGGTAATTATATAAAAGGGTGCTTTTAGCCACGGTTTGGTGATCTCTCTGAAACATGGCCATGTTAATTGAGTGTAAGTAATTTGGTTCCTTTTATGCACACACTGTAGCTTTTATCCTGTCACAATCACGCCCCCACACCGATCATACTGCCAGTGTTTGTACCAGAGCACTACGGGAAGAGCTGGGCAGATTACACATAACTAGGAAGGTAAGAGTGTCAGGAATTGCAAACATTCAAGCAAATGTACGCAAAAAAGTCTAAGGTGTTTCATACTGCAGCAATTGAACAATCAAATGATGTGCTGCTTCCTGATGCCTCAGAATATTCAATAACTACTGTTTCTGGGTTCCAACCATGTAGTGCAAAACGAAAAGCGTACTCAACCTGCACTGGTGAAATGGAAACCAACACAGCTAAAAGATGTAATGTGGTTCACAAAAGCCTTAAAGAAAGTAAAAATGTATTTCTAATCTACCAATCAAGCAATTAAAAAGATTAATTCATTATGACTACAAGATCAGAATTTTCCATAATCTCTTTTCTGCTTTACTTTTTAAAAATAGTGTTCAACATATGCCAGAGCATAAGAAGGGTTTGGGAAATGGAAAAGGAAAGAAAAAAGAATAAACAAAGGCAATTTATGGACTGCATTATGTAGAGAAATAGTAATTTTTTTTCAGTCTTCATAACCACTAATTCGGTTGCTTCTATACCAATAAAATTCCAGTTTACAGAAATCATGATAACTAGTTTCTTATTTGTATATTTCTGACTCTACATCTTCTGTGATCCCAGAGGTGGAGTAACAGATTTGCTTCAGTGCACCTGTCTATAAAATCTTGTACTTTCTTGACAACGGCTTAACAAAGCTTAACAATAGTTTAAGTCCTGTGCCCTACTCCTGGATAATTTACAAATCCTTATTATTATCAATGGAAATATTCACCTCATGTTTGCTAACAACAAAATTTCTATCATATTCCGGGGAAAAAAGGAACTCCTGACAACTTTGTTTCACTTATTTTTAGCTTGTCATTCTTCTTGTATAAATCTTTGCTTTGTATTTCCAGTTTATGTTGAAGATATTCCACCACGCGTTTCTTAATCTACAGCTACATGCTTGCACAAAGGTCAACTGCATCAGTATTTCCAGAGGCATCAACAACACTGGTGGAAAGCGCCAGTCCCGAAATGCTACACACTCCTCTGCCTTCCAGAGCTACCAACTTTCAGGAGCGTGATGACTTGTCAGGGCCATGTACCCACATCAACAAACTGACACTGAACAAAGAGAATGTAAAAACATCCTCATATGGAAAAAAAACAGAAAAAAGAAGTTGATCTGCCTTTCTTTCTCTCCCTGATGCTCTGTGTGCTCTGCTCACCTCCCTCTGCAATCACCAAGCCCTTCTCATCAGTGGTAATTCCCCTTTTTCCCTGGTGGTATAGCGGTGCTGTTGAGAAGTGCTGTTATCTCAATCAGACGTCTAAAAAAATCTTTCTCATAAGTTGTATTATATCAAATAGGATTAAGTTACCTAGCCCAGGAGAAGAGGGGACACTGCCACTGTTCTCAGCACCTTGTCTTTCATATCCCAGGGACATCAGAGCATCTCTTTTGCACTTTGCCTGCTTTGGCTTTGTTGTTTGCTCTCTTTTGCTTTGGTATGAATTCTGCACTCAAAACATGACAAGAAAAAACTGATATTTCCAAACATGATTTTTTTCACCTACAATTTCTCTGATGCACGTCACTCTATGCACAGGAGATAGAGCAAAAGAATACAGGTGTGATGGTGTAGATAGCAATTTGGCAAAGTAACTCCCGCAGCAAATAAAAAGACGTTATAAGCGATCTGATTTTTTTCTTCCAAAGCATTTACTAGTGAACTAGACAGTGTCTTGACAAAATTATCTCAATGGTTTTGCTTAAGTAACTTCCAGAACTGCCTGTCTAAAAGCCTACATGTTATTATAACACCCACACTCTTTCTTTCCCTTCTAATAGAGCTACGTGCTTGCACTTAAAAAAAAGGAAGAGAGTAATAGGGAACCGAAGCAGGGCACCAAGCTCCCTTCTCCCTCAGTGCCTCCCTGTGAGCACGGAGCAAGCAACCACTATCTGTCCCTGCAGCCCAATGAATGGCATAATTTTCATCTCATGCACTCACTTTATGCTGCAGAATTTAAAAGAATCATTGCAGGCTTCCATACAAGAGACCAGATTTTCAAATCCAAGTGTCTGATCTTTAGCTCCTAATGTGTACTTCAGCTGCCAGGGCACTGCAAGTAAGATCAAGTCTCTTCTGAAAGTGTTCAGCTACTAACCGGAGCCTTAAACTTACGGCTAACAGGTTCCTCTGACACCTGACAATGCTAGCAATCAAAGATGGAAAGGTTTCCAAAAGAGAAAGACCATTAGTAAGGATCTTATTCTGATTAAAGCTAAGCTTCCCAGCGTCTTTACATACTTCAAATATTCTTATTCTTGACATCTTATACTTATTTAATTCTGATTTCACTGAAACTATCAAAAGCAGTCATGAATCACCCCACTGAGTCTGTTTGAATAAAGAACATCATTACGAGATAAAGAAATAAGTCTTGTCGGCAAATATAAGGCCACCA